CCTCTCTTTTCTTTCTCTCCCCCTTTCTCTCACTCACTTGCTCTCTTTCTTTTTCTCTTTCTCCCTCTCTTTCTCTCTTTCTCCCTCTCTTTCTTTCATTTCGCAGACACACACACACACACACACATATACACGCAACATACTGATGTACGCTTCCTCTTTCTCTCTCTCTTTCTCTCTCTTTCGATCTTGTTCTTTCACTCACTCTCATTCTTTTTCTCTCTCTTTTCTTTCTCTTTCTCTCCCCAGCTTGCTCTCTATCTCTTCCTCTCTTTCCGCGACGTACGAGCATCTCAATGGCACGATCTCGCCCTTCGTTGGAAACGGCGCATTCGGCGGTGCCATTCGTCGCGCCACTCGATGACGATCGACCTCTGTGTCACCGTGAGCCCACCTTGGCCACTGCCGTCACTCTCTTGGCCAAGGATCAAGTACGACCTGCGAACATAACAGAGCCGCGTGAGTACAGCCGCCGTCGTTGTCCAGCCGTCAGCTGTTGCCGGCCACTCCGGTAACTTCTGACAGCCGGTTCACGGTCGTTGCAGCCGCGCCCGTCTCCATATTATCAGAGTCGCCCTATTGGAAAACCTTGACCGCTCGGATTGATCTCTATGATGGAGACAAGTAGAAAATCAAAGTTGGCCGCGACATATGTAAAGCTTTTAAAGGATATGAAACGTCAGGGGCTTCGCGTGTCTTTATTAATGCCTTTCGAAACGTACATTGCCCGAGCAATGACGAGATTAACGATACTCGCGACTCACGAGGAGCAAATTTAGATTCATAAGAACTTGCAGTGTTCTATTATATTTTTAGTTTTTGGAAAAAATTTTGTATTCGAAGGAACATTTCTAAAAATTTGCTTAAAGAATCAACATTCTTTAAAGTAACTCACTCAACGTAGTAGGTTTTTCCGTCGTTTTAAAGACAGAGCGAGTCAATTTAAAATCGTGGAATTTTTACTAGATTTTTACAGCTTGACGTCACGACATTACACAATCTCGCTATTAAATTCTTCGACGGGGCGATAAAATGCTTACTTATTGGGCTTGATTTTGGGGCATCTGCAGGCCAGATCAGCCGAGTGAACGTAAAGAGATACGTCGCCACGTCGAATCCTCGAGTTGGGGTTTTTCTTGTAAATGAAGTCGACGTTTAGAGTGAATCGAATCCAGGATGTGCCCGATACGCTCGTGCCGGCTTGCGAGCCGTCGCTTTTCTTGTGCCTGTCCGTTATTCTGCCCAGAATAGCTGCGGTGAAAAAGAACATATTGAACATTGCGTTTCAACCACACACATGTAATGTTACCAAGTTCTATATTATATAATTGAGGTAGAGTATCTGGGGCAGGAATATATATATATATATATATATATATATATAAGCGAGAATCCCATTTCGAGAACATATTCGAAGCTTTTATTGTATCTCGTAGAATATGAAGGTAACAACTGCGACAATAGCTGGAGTTATTGTTACCTCTCCTTTCCCCGAGTATTCTACAAGATAAAATAAAGGACTTTACGTCGTTTTTCGAATGGCGTTTACCCGTTTAGAAAGCTTTCGTTCTCTCTTAAATTTTCCGAGTGAATATTTACTCCGATAAAGTGAATTAATTCGCTCTGATGACGAAAAGTGAAGAATTTCACTCTTATCTTTAAAGTAATGTCGTTAGCATTTCCAAATTTACTCCAACTTAAAGTACGGTATTCCGCCACTGACCGCCGAACTCGTAAGATCACGATAGTTCGGCACAGGGTATAAGGGACCTCGTCACGAGCCGCGTTCTTTCGCGACAGTCAGCAGAATGAGCGAAACTGCCACATAAAGTATAGATTTTCAGTACTGGCTGCGAATATTAGAACACAGTCTCTATATGCGATGATCATAGTGAACAAACAATAGCGAAGCTCTTCATGAATTTTATACTGCTAACAATAATCGATGAAAGTAAAACGTAGCACTTTCAGAGTTGAAGAGTCAATCCAAGTAAAGGGTGAACAAAAGTGAAATTGCCCTCCAGTCGGACTGGCAGTATTTTCATTCTTTCTTCTCCAGAAGAGTGAGATTCCACTCCAAAAAATTTAGAGAGTTCCTTTCGTGAGACTTTAAGCAAGTGCAATTACAGAATTGACGTTATACATCGCAATTGGAATGCGTATCGAACGTAATCGCCTTTAACACGCGGACACATGTGGTTCCCTTCGTTCAAAGGATGCCTGGGTCCTTTCAACCTATATCGAGTCCATAGAATCGAATGGGGGGCTGTGGCCGCGCTCTTTTCTTTTCATTCTCTTCTGTTACGATCGATCCTGTCGTCCTCAGGACAGGGATACTATTAGCCGGCAGGGATACTTTGCCTTTCGCCAAGGACTAGGGTCATGCCCCTGCGAAACGATTCAGCGTTGAGTTGCATTCGATCGGACCATTCATTACTCGACGTCGGCGTTACGAGTTTATACGCCGTCGTGCCTGACCCCGGAGTTTGCTATTCGAATCACGGAGCCGCGTTATTCCTGACGTTGTAAGTCCGGCAATTTTACATTTCTCGCGGGGGAGGATAGCAAGATGTAGCCTCGGAAAAACGGAAACGTGTATGTTCTCTGATAATCTCGTAGCCCAAAAGTATATTGCATCCTTAACACTTGAAATCGACTTTTTCCCTCGCGAGATATTAATTGATGAAAAGCAGAGTGCTAAATTATTGAACATTTAAAATTATGCATATTTGTAATTTTGTTTTCAACTCTACAAGCAATTTCGATTCTTATTTTAAGAGTGTACTTATTTTCCAGATTTCCAATGGTTCAAGTTAAAATCTCTTAAAAATGTTTAATAGTCGTAAATGAAAAGAATTTTGGTGCTTTTTCAAATACTGGAACGTCTCTCTGTTTTCCTCTCTACATTTCCTTTTCTACATTCTCTTTATCCTTCTATTTTTATCAAGAACTCACGCAAAGTTCTTTCGTATCGCTATTTGATCCTCCGATGCATTGCAATATCAAAAGCCGTTTTCCACGACGTTCATCCCTTGCTCTTAGCGAAAAATACGCGGAGGCACGTGCGCGAGACGTCGCCGTTCCCGATCGGTTTCGTTTTCGCGTCGCGGCTATGGGATGCGCGGTCGTTTCGGCCGCTATTCTAAGTCGGAGACAGCTAAGTGCAGACCTGTTGAAGATTTATCTGCGCTGAATCAAACGAGCGGACAGGAGAGGAAGCAGGGAGCAGCGAAGCCGCTCTGCTCGGCCAAACCCGCGCCGGACCACGGCTCAAAGGCATACCATTCTATTATTGAAAGCCCCGGCACCGTTAAAACGCGAGTCTTTCATTTTTGAACGTTATACACGCCACCGCGAGAGGAGAGCGAGCAATCACGGCCGTACGCAAGCAACCCTATCCTTTCTTTCACGCTTTCCTCAACGATGGGTTTAGCAAACTCCGAGCCCCAGGCATTACAAAGCGGCAAATGAGAAAATAGTTTTGCATGTTTCCGGTGATCAAAAAAAACAACGAGATTCGACATGGTATTATTGATGGTTTGCTTACATTTACCAAAAAGAAAAATAGCTGTAGAACATGAAGCATTAATTAGCGCGATTATCGCGAAAAGTGAGAAAATTAGAAGATTCCTTTTCCTTTTAAATAGAAGGCGATAAGAAAGGATTATTACCCTCCACTTAATAAATATCCATTTTGGTTTCGTTTAACGCAATCTCTCTGAAATCTCGTTTGTTAATCTTTTTCACGTAACAAACGCAGGGCTTTCTAAATCCGTTACTGCCTCTTCTCTTGCTGTCTCCCTGTTTCTCTCTCTCCTCATGTCCCCCCCCCCCCGCCTGTGCGTACGTTTATGTTCGACTTTTTCGAGGACTTTCGAAAGAGAGAGAAAGAGAGAGAGAACAGCACTCTGGCATAAATCGTTGTTTCACATGTGCCCTCCGCACATTACTGGGGCGGGCACACATCTATCCTCGATAAAAGCCGAAACAATTCCGGTGGCTTTGTGCCACGCAATGTTTTTCCACATCGGCCAGCCGGGAATTGACGACTGTCTACATTACTATGCTTATCGTCGCTTTCGACCGTTGTTGTTTAACCTGCCGGTGTACAATTGAATTTCGTATTACTTATCTATGAAAAATAATGAGATTAACATTCGGACACAACGCTAATTCTTTAGTCTAGATTTAAAAGAATTTTTTATCGTTCGAATCTTTAGTGGCAGTGGAAACGTGTTTTTCTCGATATTCTCTGTAGTATTTGAGACGTTTAAAACGTTCAATTTAATGATTAAGGAGTTGTGAGAAAGTGTGACTTTTACTACTTAAAAACATTCAACGCAATAAAGAAGCTCGGAAAGAAGCTTTAAATGTAAATAGATAGATGCGAGAGAAATTGTGACGTACCCCTTTATTCAAGTCGTTTTATCTTTAGATAAACTTGCAATAGCCGGCGTATATAAGGACGATTTAATTATAGAATTCCGCGGCGGCGCGATTTGCCGTAAGTTGTTTGGGTTTCTACGGTTCGGGTTCCATTATATCAGAGGGGCAAGTGCGATTAATACGCCGCTCTTTGTCCGCAACATTGTTTGATTCGGAAACACTTACCATAGTCTCTTTTGCAGTACTTGTTGAGATTTAGCCTCTTGGTGCTGGCACGACACTTTCCGCACTGATCTGCAACAAAACGAAGTGGAAGACAAATTACGTCGCTTTCAGTGGCTTAATCAATTTATGGCGGCGCGGGTTAACCCGCGGCAGTTAATTCCCTTGGGCGCAGACGTTGGCGAACGAGGAAACGCATCGTTAGCAAAGCGTTCTTTAAATTGAACGCAGAATAGAATTCGGTCGGGTCGAGCAATTGTCGGAATTGATGCGCGGAGGTTATCGAAATGGCAAACACCGGCTGTTATTACAGTAATCGTGGTACGCCATACCAAAACTCTATTACCACCGGTTTCACATACAGATAATAAATAACATCGTCTTGTTTATTTATGAACGATCAAGATTATTATTATTACGGGCTTGATACGGATCAAATTGCATTGAGATGATATTTATGTTTGCACTCATGAGATTCTTATCTCTTCATTAACTTCTGAAAAGTATTCATTGTTTCGCATCTCTCTTGAGATAATCTTGCAACCCTTGGGAATGAGGGAGCCAGAGTCAGGGAATACTTGGGAAATGAGGCTCAAAGGACCGACTGACTGGTTTCTCTCACTGGCGGCCAATCGCAATCCGTTTCCAAAAAATATAATATTCGAGCGAAATAGCTTGCAAGTTCAATCGATTGCATATGCAATTTTTGTTATTATTTGTAACACAATTGCAAATATTAAATGATACTTTCGATAATTAGAAATAAATTAGTTTTCGGAAATGAAGTTTTAAAACCCCCGAAATTTTATCTTTCAGCACAATTATATCCTTGATTTACTTTCAAGTAGATTTTACATAAAAAATATTGTAAGTTAAGTGACGGTCAATGCTGATTAAGTTGTTTGACGATGAAAATTGGCGGGTTCAGACCGACGATTTCCCTCCGACATTTTCAAAACGAGCTACTCTTTTGTCAAGGAATTCGCGGAGAAAAAAATAGTTGGCCAGCTCGGGCTAATCTATGTAATAATCCATAGAGACGTAGATCTGGTGTCAGGCGAGACGACAAATGAGTATCGTGACGTCACGGGCGGGGAGCCTTCGACCCCGTGTCGCGTACATATCGTAGGCACTTGGATTACTTCAGCTCGTCTCGTCTCGCACTTGACACGACCCATTATCATCCACCGGCGTATCCATCCATCTATTATCTAGCCGCGACTATCCATCCATTATATCCCATACGGTCAGCCCGTCTCGCAGCCGTTCAATTAATTCCCCGGGCAATATGTTATAGTCTCGACTGGAGGCCAAGAGAGGTGAGAGTCGACACTGTGTGACTGGGATGGGGCACACTTTAGATCACTTGTCCCAGAAATTGAGGGAAAAAAGGCCTCGATTCTTTTAGGGGGGGGAAAAAAACAATGAATTGAACAGCTTAGCAATCAAGAGCAGACAATACCGACAAATAACGAGGAATAAGAATTCTGATATCTTTCTCGCGCTATGAACTTATACAATGAATCTATCACGTACACATTTGTTACGTTGTTTCAATCATATCAATTATTTCAATTATTTTCCCACACCTAATATGTGCAAACGTATCTTTTGTGAGTAATTTATTTAAACGAATTGTACGACGAGCTAATACAATCAAGTTCGCTTGAAAAGGACCACAACCCACGGTCGAAACGTTGCGAGCCTCATAAAAATTGCCAGATACGGTCGAACGAACTTGAAGCTGCTGATACAATCAAGTTATACTTTTACAATTAGTTTGGAACTGGACAGTTCTAATGATGCTAAGAGGAAACAAAATGTATTTCATAACTTTCAATTGTATACTCTACGAGAAAATGAAGTAACATCAACAATTATTTGACGCCAGTGTATGACTAACACAGAAAATTTATTGCGAAAAATATTACCTCAACCAGGGTTTGAGCCTGGACCTCCCTACACTCTAGGCGGGCGTCTCACCAATTCTACCACCGAGGCATGTGGTAACATTTATCGCGATAAGCAGTACTTATGGTGGGCATCTTCGCGTTAATTTTTCAACTGGAACTGCGCTTAATTAAAATGAAGTAACCTTGGTTTGTTAAATCCGAACGTTTTAAACAGACATCAGAAAAGGAGGACGCGTCCAGAGCATATCGCAACTTCAAGTTTATTTGTCTGCCTATTTCGGTTTTACCTCGCGTTCTCTTAAAATTATCGGCGGGCGCACGATCGATTCGGAGGACGGGCTCGGGCAGGCAGATGCAAATCAACGTCGAATGCCGGCCGCATGGGGCTAACCGGTGAATTAGCGTGAGCTGCCCACCTGGTGCTGATTCGCGATACCACGCTGATGTTCATTCGTTCGTTCGTACGCTGGGACGTTCACCGGATCGCGCACGTGTCGGGGATTGAAAGCGCGTGATTGATCGGCCGGCCGGCGATCGAGAATTGCCCGCGAGATCGCCCGGCTGTTGCGTTGATTTATCGGCAACGACGTGCTTGGGTTTCATAACGCGACGGAGATGGTAGTCGACGAGGGAGTTTTCTTGTGTCGGACCTGAATCTGTTGCGTCATGTCGTACACGAGCTACAAACATGAACGACACATTCTTGACTCGCGAATTACCGACAAACTGTCAAATATTGAATTACAAATAAAATGTCCCGAGCGTTGTTACGCAGCCGCTTGAGGTGCTGGCTTTTAACAGCCGCAATCTTATGGCAAGATAAGCCTGACACCAGATCTACATCTCCATGGATTGCCACATCAATTAGCCCAAGTTGGTGAACAATGAAAATACCAAAGGAGAATCCATCTAAACTTGCCAACTCGGTTTTAACAAAAATACCAGAGGCGAATCCGTCTGAACTTGACCATTTTCAACGTCAACTTAATCATAAATAGAATCATAAATCATAAATAGAAAATGAGGCTCCCATATAAACCAGTTAAATTACAATGTTGGCTGTTGAGATGTTAAAAAGAAAATTTTTTATACACACGCCCATTATAATGACCACTATGTTGCGCTAACTTTTAACTTCTTATCTTATGTTTTGGACTAAACAGGTTTAATTATTAATTCATTGCTGAAGAGGGTCGCTTTCGCAGACCGAAACGTACAATTGTATTGCGATGTTATGTGATTTCTAACATTAAAAATTGGTTGATACCAATATTATACACAATTTTTCACCACTTTCAACTGTGCGTTGGCTCACATTGCCTATGCGTTCCCTTTTCAACGTCTCAACGACCAACATTGTTTTCCGTAATTCAACTTAATCAGCATTGACCATCACTTATAAGGAAATAATGTCGCGAGGGCCGTCATACGTACAGAATTTACGTAATGTACACCGCATAGCATCCAAACCAAAGTACCAGTTAGCCCGTACATTGTGGGATGCTTAGCACAAGTTGTTAAATTATAATTTTGCATCGAACAACAAGTAAACTTCTGCGTAACAATTTTCCGAGCGTTTGCGCCGGTGCGCCCAGCGAAATTCGCCATTGTTTACGCACTGCGAGACAACGTCGGCACGTATGGCATGGACGACGTTGGGCAGGGAATTGGCACGCGAGAGAAACGTAGGTCGGGCGAAATATTTAAAGCCCCCTTGCTAGGCAGCGAAAAATATTTGTTTTTCGATACGCGAGAGCAACCGGTTCTCTCGCATGCGCGACGCTGATATTTTACGACTTCGAGCGTCGCGCATCCGACCTACGAGAACGGACGGCGTATACGGTCGAAACACGGGGTAAAAACGTGCCGCAGGGGGCAGAGGCAACCCTCTCCTCCCTTTCTTTTTAGACCGCGTAACATGCGCGCGAGTGCGCCGGGGACTGTCGCGCGCGGCGTCCTTTGCGTTCCGCTCGCGTTTCGAGCGCTTGCATGAGTGAACGACCGCTGGCGTCTTTCCTCAGGTAGTAAAGCACCTTAAATCAAATAATCCCATCGTTTTAATATTCTTCATACGAATATAAAATAATTCTCTCCTGACGCAAAGCCGATATGTTCGAAACGTTAAATCTTATGCTACATGCACTTACACGAAGGGGCAATATTTCAGCTCGAGAGAGATATTCAGTTATTTAATAAGATTTCCCAGCTGGTTATTCACTGGACGGGACGACTCGCGTACATCTATCCTGTTTCTCGTTCGTTCGTGTCGTTCATCGAAGTGTACCGCGAGGTAGAAGTCGCGAGTAGCGCGCCTGATAAACGCGAGGCGGAGGGCACGAGAGGGGCTCGCGCGCGCGAAAGAGACAGGAGAGCTTTGAGATCTTTGACCCTGGGAGTGTCGGACTTTTTGCCGGACATTATCATAGACTCCTGTGATATACGCCGAACGGCTAAGCTGGTGAGATATGAGCGAGGCAGCGCCATTACCCGGAGTACAAGAAGCAGAAGCCGCGCGCGCGCGCGCGTACGAATGATGAAATATCCACCTTCTGAGATCTCCCTCGTCACATATTTTAGACGTCGGAATTTCTTTTCGTATCGCCAGCTTGATTTAATGAGATTTGATTCTCCGACGAAACCAAAGGTCGAGTCGAGGATGGAGTTTAGTTGATGAACGTAATGCATTTCCGTGTTCGAAAAGATCGTATGTCCGCTACAGTTCTGTCCGAGGGGGAAACCGCTGACCAAAATCTTGTACACCAGTGCCCATTAATGCCCACTGGGCATTACTTTATCTTATTATCTTATTTCATCTCATTTATCTTGTTTTATCTTATTTTACCTTTATAATGCTCCAGCAAGGCCTAATGCCCCACAAATGCCTAGTAATGCCTAGCAATGCCCAGTAATGCCGCAAATTTGTACACCACAATGCCCTCAGCGGTTTTCCCCCTCGGTTCTGTCTTATTCGAATTATTCGAATTTACACGGAGTTTACAGTAAGAAAATTCTGCGACTTTTTAATGTAGTCTACTTTGCAAGTGTGCAGAATGTTGGCGACGAGCGTGATTTGGAATTTACATCTTCCTGCTCTTCGGGCGTGGACCCGCGTCTATCGCGTACCGTCCCGATCGCGTGCGAGAGCGTCGATCCCGTAAT